TATTAATTTAAAAAAATATTAATATTCTTATTTGCATTCTTGAATTCAATGCTTACTGTCAATTGATTTGCGTGTCATATGACCATTACAACTCTTTTATCACCCTAAGCTCAGCTGACGCCTAAAACATGACACCAATACGAGATCCAAACAATTTTTAGGGATCCACAGTAGTTTTTGATATATATATGTACATACGTACATTTATTTATTTATTTGAAGGTTGTGAATAATGATCTTACCTCACAATACCGCATCAACACGTTACGTTGGTATTCTAGTAATCAGTCCACAAGAAGGATGGTCTCTGACGCTCGGTGAGGCTTCTGGAGTTTGCTGAGCCATTGTGCTCTGTTCATGGTTTCTTGTCTGGCGATTGTCCGCTTTGTCTTTGCTCTCTTAGTTTTTGCTTTTCTTTCTTATTTCTATCTGTTTGGTCCACTGTGCCTCAATTTGTTGGTTGTCTTTGTGGCTTCATCACCAATTTGTGGGTATCCTAGTCCCTGGCCTTTCGCTAACCGCCTTATCTTTTGGGTTTTAACAATAAATTTGTGAAGAAGCCTCTTTCCATTGGCACTAGTGGTTTTCTCTATTTCTTTTTTCGTGGTTTGACCGATGGTAGTGCTGCAGTGAGATTACTTGTTTTTTTTTTTTTTTTTTTTTTTCTTCTGGTATTTGGCAGCTGGGCTTGGTAATATCTGCATTGTAGCCTCTAATATAATCCATATTTGCTCTTTATGCTCACAATTGGTTGCTGGATTAGATTTTGTTGGCTACTTTTTTCAATTATATCTTTGAGTTGCTGGTATTATGGAGGTGGTTGGCTCTATCACAGTGGCTGCACTATCCAGTTACCACCAGCCATGAGAATATTAAGTTGGAACTGTCAAGGATTAGGGTCCTCCTTGACAGTCGGCCATTTAAAGGATTTATGCTTAAAATATAGGCCTGAAATAGTTTTTTTGATGGAGACAAGGCAACAATCTGGGTATATGGACAAGATTTAAAGGAAGTTGGGATTTGACCCAAGGGGATTATGTAACTCCTAGAGGAACAGTCGGAGGTTTAGCCCTTTGGTGGAGGGATGACATTAAACTGTAGATTTTCGAAAAATCAGAAAATTTCTTTAATGGATGTTACTCTGATTCTGTATCTATGGAATGGCAATTTTCTTTCATATATGGCTGCCCCACTCGAGCGAGACGTAGTCAGTTCTGGAATGAATGCTGCCGTTTGCGGAGAGATCCTAATGTCCCGTGGGTGGTCTTAGGGGGTCTGAATACAATTTTGGGTTATGCTAACAGGAGAGGAAAGTGTGTGTTGCCATTTTCATCTTTCCAATTGCTCGAACAGTTTATGGATGTATGTCATCTTCAGGAGATTAGTTTTAATGGTAACCCTTAATACATGGAATAATGGAAGATCAGGTAATTTTAATGTGTAACAACGGCTTTATAGAGGTTTGGCTAGTGAAGCGTGATTCCAGTGCTTCCCATATGCTCAATTGCTTCATGAGCTGTGTATAGGGTCTGATCATAGACCACTCATCTTATGTATGGATCCATTTTCTAAACCAAAAAGGAGGCTATTCCGTTATGAATTGAAGTGGTCTTTGGAGAAAGGATATGGTGATAAAGGATATGGTGATTGCGCGCAACATGGTTGGGCAAAGAATGTGTCTGGATCGGACCAATATAAAATGCTATGGAAATTGAAACATTGTTGGAAGGATTTGAAGATGTGGAGCATAGGTTTACGAGGCAATCCTCAAAGGAAAATTCAAAATTTATCAATTTAACTGGAAGATTTGCAGAGCCAAGATCAAACTATAGATAATCGAGAACAACAGAAGCTACTAATGCAACAGTTGAATGATTTATGTGCAAAGGAGATTTATTGGTTCCAACGCTCTTGGGTTAATTGGCTATAATATGGGGATTGAAATTCCAGCTTTTTCCATACCACAACATCAAGACGAAGGGAGCAGAATCAAATTACAAGGATACAGGACGATAATGGTATATGGCTGGAAGATGAGGAAGATATCTCTACCTTTCTTTTCCAGAAGATGAGTACTCAATTTAAAGCTCAAGCCCCAACTGGTTTGAATTGGTTGGCTTCTATATAGCCAGTTGTTACTCAAACAAAGAATGATGCCTTATGTGCACCAATATCAATGAAGGAAGTTCAAGATGCTATTTTTCAATTAGGAGCTTACAAGGCGCCAGGCCCTGACGTATTTCCGGGTATCTTTTATTGAAAGCACTGGCAAATGGTGAGTAATGATGTTTTTCGTGCTGTTTCTCGATTTTAGGATACTGGCCATTTACTAAAAGAATTCAACAAAACAAATGGGGTTTTAATACCCAAAGTAAAAAATCCCCATACTTGGTCCCAATATTGACCAATAGCTCTCTGCAATTTCATTTACAAAATTATATCTCGTGTGATGGTTAATCGTTTAAAGCCTCTTCTCTCTCAGTTGATCACATCAGAGCAATTTGCCTTCGTCCCTGGACGGATGATTCAGGATAATTTGATTGTAGCAACGAGGCTTTCCATGCTTTTAAACATCGCCATTATGAGAGGGAAGGATAGGCTCTTAAACTTGATGTCCATAAGGCGTATTTAAACTTGATATCCATGAGGCATATGACACAGTTGATTGGTTTTTTCTTGAGAGCTTGCTTCAAGCTCTTGGTTTTCATGAATGGTGGATTAAAAGAGTGATGGAATGTGTGCAAACTGTGTCTTATTCCATATTAGGGAATGGTAAACCTTCTAACATTATTATTCTTAGGAGAGGACTGCGACAAGGAGATCCTTTATCCCCATATTTATATCTATTTATTGCTGATGCTCTCTCTAAACTGATTCATGATGCACTGGCTAATGGGAGATTGCATGCTTATCAAATTACAAGTAGATGCCCACCAATAACTCATTTACTATTCGCTGATGACGCCTTAATCTTTTGCAAAGCTACAATAGAGCAGACTCAAATCTTAAAGAATTACTCGCCCAGTACAGTTCTATGTCTAGGCAACTTATTAACTTTTCTAAATCAGCTCTCATTTTTTAGCAAGAATGTAGCCTAGCCTTTAAAGTCTGATATATGCCGCTTGTTTTCTACATCCAAGGACACTAGAGTTGATAAATATTTGTGACTTCCTACAAGTTGGGGAAAATCTAAAAGACAGTTTGTAATTTGTGGTAGAGAGGATGCAGTAGAAGTCACAACACCGGAAGAAATCCCTCCAGCGTAGTTGATTTCGTGCCATACCAGTTGGTATGGTCGATACATATTGGTTTTTTTATTAATCTGAAATGGTGCAAGGTTTAATTTTGTTTCAGTCAAATTTTGTCCATTTCAATCAAATTTTGGTGTTTGGATCCGTATTTTGACGTATCGACTAGTACACTAAAAATTGATTGGTACAAATCAAATAATCAATTCAAATTTAAAAAGAGTAAATTCTATTTTTGGTTTTCAATTTTAATGTTTTGTATAATTTTCATCCTTTAATTTTTTATGCATTTTTTTAGTCCATCAACTATGAAAAATATATATTTTTTAGTCTTTCTATCAGTTATTTCATTAAGTTTGTTTAAATATGCACATTTTTAGTATCTTAACTTAAAGTAGAAGGGTGAAAAATATGTATATATTAGAAGTTGAGGGACTAAAAATGTGTATTTTTAGTCCTTTATAATAATTTCAAATTTAGATTTCTAATCCTCAGTACTCACTAGTTGATGCTCTCTCTTCTCAATAATGTTTTGATTTGTCTTTTACATTTTTGTTATACTTAGAAGATATGATTTCTTCCTTTGTAGAAGTATTTTATGTTGTGAATTGTATAACATTAAACTCAGAACACCATTATACTTTCTAATATCATCTTAATATTTTTTTAAAAAAAAGAAAAAAATTATGGATGCTTTATAAAGTTGGTCGTTTTAAACTTGTTTTTAATTTATAAGAATATGATGGTTTTAAACATTAGTTTCTTTTATCATAATTTATAATTTTGATATTTAATTTATAACAATATATATTTATATCGATAAATCTAAAATGGTATACAAAAAATTTTGATATTTGATACGTACCGTTCTCGTAGCAAATTTGGTATGCATGTTGGTACGGTATTGACTATTTTGAATCCCTCCTTTCTTTGGTAGGACGAGAGGTTCTTATTAAATCTCATGCTCAAGCGGTACCAAATTTTATTATGCATTACTTTAAATTTCCAAAGTCAGTTTGTCGCCAGCTCAATTGCTTAGTACTTTTTAGTGGGGTCAACATGATGATGAGACCAAAGTTCCCTGGGTGAGCTAGGGAAAGCTTATTGTGAGCCAATCGAAAGGAGGATTGGGTTTCAAGGATTTGGAGCCTTTTAATTTAGCCCTTCTGGCTAAGCAATGTTGGTGTTTACTTAGTAACCTAGATTGTTTGTGGAATAAATTGCTCTGAGCTCTTTACTTTCATTCCTCTTCCTTGTTTAGGCTGAAGAAGGATCTTCTCCCTCCTGGCTATGGTGTAGCCTTTTGCAAGGAAGGCAAATCCTTGAGCTTGGTGTTTGATGGAATCTAAGAAATGAAAAACCTATTTTCATGTGGGGAAGTAAGTGGATTCCCTTCGTCGATAACTTTTAGTTTACTACATTGTAGCCTTCTTCTGGTCTTAATTATAAAGTATATGAAGTCCTTACCCCTAATTATGGATGGAATATATCAAAGATTAATATAGTTTTGAACCAACAGGATGTGAGGGCCATTGTATAAATTCTAACAGGTCCTATTCCAGACAAATTGGTCTGGCACTTTACGGAGGATGGCCAACTCACCACCATTCGTTCACCCTATCAGGTAGCATGCCAATATGGATTGGGCTTATTTCCATTGTAGGCTCAACAAGTTAGTTTCCCTTTTAGAAACATTTGAAAGCTACTTTGGAAGCTTGATGTCCCTCTTAAACTTAAACATTTTATGTGGAGGATTTTATCTAATGCCTTGCCTGTGAAAACGAATCTTCATCGTAGAGGAATCATAAATAATTCAACTTCTTTGCTCTGTAATTCAAGTGAGGAAAGCAGG